CTACTAATATTACATGGAAAAAGTTAAAATGTCTTTTCATTTCACAAGAAAACACAGCTGCGAATTTAGAAGCAAATAGCAGTGGCTTCATTTCTTTCAGTGCCTCATTAACACTTTGCTAATAACGGCACGCCAGTGGCTAAGCCATCCATTTGGAAGGCAGTGCGTATTTAGTAAAACGCAATGTGCACCCCATGCAGGCTCTTAATCGCACCAAATTAAAAATTTACCTAAAAATCGCGATCACTCAAAAACAAACGAAATATCGTGCATGATTCTTTCATGATACCGCGATGAAGGTAATGATATATGAATGCCAAAAGTGATTATTTGCAGAGGACAAATGAGCCCGAGAAGAATTGTTAGCCCGTTTTAGGATGCACAAGCAGGATAAAGCGTCCGCAAAACAGATAAAAGTTAAAGGGCTCCGTACCATAAAAATCCAAGCGCAAACAGTTTCTTCTGAAAATTCACAAAACTTTCTGCTAACCTTTCATGTCTTGATAATCTGGTCCTTGACGTGGAACGACGCCTTCGATAGGAATATCTGTCCTCAGCATCGGCTGCCCGAAAACGGCGGTAAGAGCGACGGTCGTAGTACGAGCTTTGGTATCTTCGATCGCGACTTCGTGAGCGATATCTGCCAAAGAAACCGGACGGAGGGGTGCGGCTCCGACTGCGACTTCTGCGCCTCAGTTCTCGAGAACGGCTTCTGCGATAGCTGCCACGGAAGGGTGAACGGCTCGGTGAGCGACGGAGTCTACTTCCACTTCAATTTTAACATTATCAGCAAATGAAACTAGCTGTTTTTACCAGACATTCAATTACAAGAAAAAGCCAATGAACCTACAGACGAGAAAACTCCTAGTTTCTTTCATTTTTTCCAGACTGCTATAATTGATGTGTTCACGTCAAGCGTGTACCTTCTTTTTCGGTCCCGTGACCGTCTCTCGCTGCGATCGCGCGATATGCCGGCACGCTTTTCGCGCATCTGAGAACGATCATGCTCCAGCTCTTCATCCCGCATTTTTGGCGCGCCAGCATCACCAGCTGTTGTCTTCGACTTCTTTATCATCTGAAATAATTACTTCAGCCACTAACGAAACCAGCTATCACAAAAAACAGACGCGTAAGGAGTGGATCTGGTGGATCATAACCGAAGGCACAAAAAGAGACCAAGGCACGATGGCTTGGCATAGCTTCGGTCGGTCAGAAAGATAGCATTTCAACTACAATGAAGAAACCACAACAATTTATAATGAAACCATAATTTTTACCATAATTTACAATAAAACTCTGAACCGTGTTCATGAACCTGGACCAAAACACGCTTCCATACCCCAATCATTCGACTACTAAGCAGAACTGCCACTTTTAATGCAAAGTTCCGGTAAAACAAGGAAGACCCCGCGCTTCTTCATTGGCGTAAAACGGAATACCCGCTTTAAGACAAAGCTGAAAGACGGATAAGCATGTCTGCAGCAGCAAAAAAATCTCGGAGAATGAGTTTGACAGAAGTGGCCGAACTGCGCAAAAAAACATACGCAACTTATACAGGACCTGGAATGCTCTCTGATTTTTTCAGCTTTTACGAGGAGTACGTGTCAGTTCCGGCAAAGGCGCTGTGTTAATGCATTCTTTGCGATAATTTTATGAACTAAAACAAAGCTATTTTGATGGGTTACCTCTGTTAAATCAATTTCCGATGATTTTTCGGAAAGATTTTTCGGATCCTCCACGCCACGCATTTGCACTTGCTCTATTTTCGCGACTTTTTCCTCTTCTTCTTCACCTCTATTTTGAGGCGAATCAGCGCTCGGTTTCGCGGCAGTATCTTCTGTTTCTTGATTTTCTGTTTGAGCGGTATTTCCTTTTTGTTCCTGTGCCTCCAAAGCATGGGATTTCTTTTCCGATTCCACGTCTACTGTCTTCGTTTCTGGCAACAGTGTTTTTGTGGCATCATCTGAGGATACACCCTTGATGGGTTCACTGCAAACAGGTGGCTCTGCTGGTTCATTCGACGACTCTGCTTTATCCATATTTTCCGAGAAATCACTGGACTGCGAAGACAATGGTGTGTTCTCCACTGATACAGTGGTTTCATCGGATTGTGTCTTAGTTTCAGTAGTAGCCATGGGCTGATTCGGAGCACGCAGATTTTTGCGCGAAAATCTGAGCTGCATTTCAATCATTTTTTTCGTTTTTGCCTTTAGAGCAGGATCCGATTCCGCCTTTGGTTTTTCCGTCTCAGCTGGTGGCGGAGGAGCTGGTTCTGGCGGTGCTGGCGGCTGTGGTGGAGGCGATTCGACATTCGGCGGCAAATCGATATCCTCCGGGCGTATCTGAAACACAGTGCAAAACTGTTATCACAAAGTTCACTGAAATCAGTTCTAACAAACGAAACTATCTCATTGGTGACATAAAACCAGACACATTCATTAAATAATTTCAGCAGTAAATGCTCGTGGACAAGCTTTTTACTAAGATATCACCGTGGAATACAAATTAATGTCCTAACTGAACGTTCTACATTCTTCAGCGCTAAGCTGTCCGACATATGATTACCACTTACTCGGCCTTCAAGTGATCGTTTCTTTTCTCGCAAGCACTACATTGCTGACGAGTATGGTGCAATGGCAAGTGGATTTACTTTGAAGTTAAATGTCAGTTTCGGCTTTATCGCCAATTTCTTCATGAGTCGACAGTAAACTGGTCTTAACGCATGCCAAGAAGAATAAATGGCAACGCGCACCAGACTAGCCGGTGCAATCATGCGTTTTGTGCAGTTCAGCCCATCAAACGATTGCCTGTTAACGATTTTCACTGCTTTGTACTTTAGTCTATGCAAAAATAGTTCAAACACTGGAAAACAGTTAAAAAT